GGTGACCTGCACTGCGCTATGAAAAGCCGAGCCACATCGCATCAAATGTCCAATGTGCTTCCCAGCCCATTAAATCTGCACACATGGGGCAAAGCAGAGACACCAGTGTGAGGCACCCTGTAGCATTTCTCAGCTGTTGCCTGAAGGCACTTGGAGAGGGATGGTACTGATTGAGGCACGATCAGGTCCTGAGGACCATCGCTGACGGTATCAGCTAAGGAGTAGAGTAGGAAAAGCACTCCTGCCCATCCAAGCAGTCCATTGCCTTTGTGCGAGCTGGGGAACAGTCAAAACCTGGCGTAAAAACATCTGCAGGCACCAGGGTCTCTGCAAGAGACTGTCAGCTGTTGGCAGACCTCAAATGCCATCTGAAGTTCCCCAACCACATCACTGCCACTGGACATTGTCCTCGTGTCTCAGCTCACCAAGCAACCTTTGAAAGGAAGCTCTACAAGTACGCAGGACTTGCCAGATGGAGAGCAAGGTGTCTCCCAGTAGAGGTTGGGTGTAGGGGTTTCGCAGCCAGCTCTCTAACCTGAGATTACAGACATTTTGGCATTGAGGGAGAGAGGATGAGAAGAGTAATCTGTAATACCACTGAAGTGGCAGAGACAGCCTCAAGATGGCTGTGACTCAGGAGAGTAGACTCATAGGGTGAGTAGTAGCTTGCCATCTGGACACAAGCTGGGGTCTGATTAGCCCCAGTTGGGTCACCTGGAGGAGGGTGTATGATGCTGAATGACCCAAAACCCAATGACTCAAGGAACAGCACTGAATATGTGTTGAGAGGCATCAGCAGATGATATTAGAAACTAAATGCAAACTCGTAAAGGATAAAAGGAGTATGAGAAAAAAATAGATAAACGCCAAATGGAAAGCAAAAAATAAAAAAACACCTAATACAAGGAAATTGAAAGAAAGTGAGAATGTAGAGGGATCAGTGTTGACAGGTGTCTATATTGCAGTCACACTTCCATGCTGCTCTGTGAGCTGCCATCCTTCCCTTTTCCAACATCAACCCACTACAGGTTCTTCAATAGAGACATAACACATTTTTCCCCCCACATGCCAACCAGCTGTAACACTTATCTAGAGCTCTTCATGACAGGCCCTAACACACCACAATGGTCTCTACTATTTCTAACACATATGTTTTTTCTTTTTTTGTGTTGTTGAAACAAACTGGTGATTTTTGTATGTTATAAATATGTGTAAAAAACAGTGGGTGGTTTTAATTTATATATTCCTATATATTTAATTACCTGTACATAGAAACATGGCGTATCATTGAGCCAAAATACTATAACACTGCAATATTGAGATCTTTCATACTGCAACATTGCCATGTTAGTAGATTGAATTAGATAGCCTTCGGTATATAGGTTTATTTTTCCTTGAGCAAATATTATGTCACATTCTGGTTTTGCCACTTTGCCACAAGTGACAAATGTGCTAAATCTCCAGAGACACTGAAGTCTGGTGAAATCTGTTTGCCAGCTGGACTCAGCGGCTCGCCTGATTGGCTTACAGAACCAGGAAATGTTGTCTGAATGGATTTGAGCCCAGATAGACCATATGGACCTACTCTAGTGAAGATCTAGTCCAAGTGTGCAATATATACACCCACATGCATACACACTGCGTGTGACATGTGTCCCACTAACATAAGACCCCAATCTTGTTATCAAAGCAAAGTGAACATATTGGTTTTAGAGCCATTTGTGTAGTCACATCCAAAACCCCAACTGTCATTTGAGAATATATGCGGATGTCAACACGTGTTCATGACAATGCGCACAGCAGAACACATGTTGCCATCGCCAGCTGCTGGTGTTTTCATTTTCTGAGTGTTAAATACCAGCAGCTAAATGCTCACAGCTAACACATATTCACATCCTTTTCCTCTATTTGCTTAGCATTTCTCCATCCTCACTTTCATTCAAGACGATGCAACACATTTCCTCTCCATCCCAACACACTCCCACGCAACACCCAGCTATTTATACCACAGCCTATTATTTCCAGCTCATGTCTTTTTAATCTGAGGGTAGCACCCTGCATTTCTTAACAGGTGGTTTATCCGCAATCTTTCTCTGAGCCATCCCCAAATCCACTCACACATGCAATGAATATTTCCATCAATCCATCATCGCTGAAGCATCGTAGCCAGCCTGCTCTACTTCTTCATCCATCTATGTCTGAAGAATGAGATGGTCCATTCATTGGTTAGATGACCTTATTTAATGAGGCAGAAAGGAAATGCGAGAGGTGGAACATCACTCTCACTCCCAATGGTAAACACTCATCCATATCTCCAATTAACCCCTTTCTCTCTCTCTCTCTCTCTCTCTCTCTCCTTCCGTCTCTCTTTCAGGCTGTGACACACATTCTTGGTAAAAAGCATTGTAACTAAATGAAGTAAGACACAGGTAGAACATTAGCTGTCATGGTGAGTGAACCCACTATTGTTGTCAAAGGGCAAGTTCTAAATTATCTGACAAACATTTTCAGCGTTGTGCATTAAGCTTTGTGCGTCGAAAATTGTAATGGAAAATCTCAGGGAAACTGTTACTATATGTTTTTAGAGTGCACTGACATGCAGACAAATATTTTAGATTCTTGATTAGTATTATCTTATACCATATTTGTGGGATCTGGGGTTATAAGTGTGTAACCACAGATTGAATAAATAAATACATAAACAATTTGTGCCTGTAACTGAACAATTATCTAATAATACTTATTGACAATGAGTATGTTTACAAGCACACTAGTTTCCCCCATTACAATAGGGTTTTTGGAGTTTTCCAGATATCTGAATAAATCCTTCTTGGAGTTTTTATTTGAGCGCAGCCTCATCTCCTGCTGTGTAATAATCATCAGTATGTCAAAATGTATTGACATACTGATGATCTACATATTCAGATCAGACGGAGAAGCCAAAACCAGCAGAATTATACACACAGTAGAATCAAGGAAACCAGGAACGTCCTCCTCAACTGTTTCAGGTATGGATCTAGTATGAAGTATGAAGAGTTAGACACACCTGGATTTACACAATGCACTTCCACATCTGGACAAATGAAATCACTGATTACAAGTTTCATTTATAAATTACAAATAGTGTAAATGTGCAGCACAAAGACTTATTCTCCTCAACCACACAGAGTGAGGTTTCTAAGAATGGTGTCAGTGAGAACAGAGCTCCTCTTCAGGAGGCATTTACCATTTTACTGCTTAGCCAGGTGGCTAAAACACACAGGCTACAAAGTAATTTATCTTGCAAATTAAAATCCTTGAAATGCTTTGAAGAAGGTTTATGATTAAACATTTGGTTTCAATTATTATTTCAAACAGATGTTAGTGTGCAGATGCTTTTCTCAGTCTGTAAACTTCCAGTAAACAACCAACCGAAGGGACTGGATTACCAACAGCAATGAACTGATTAGATGTGAAACAGCCACTCAAAAATCACCTGACAGTGTCTGTTGGCCAAACAGACCTTCAACATCTTCCAAAGCTTACAGTGTGATAGCTTTCCTTTTAAAGCAGCAGAGGGCTTGACGTGAGTGTGCTGCCAGTTTTCTCCTCACTCCATTCCTCCATCACCCTCCACACTTCTTTCATCCTATTCTCACTCTACCCTACACATGCGTTACTCGCTCTCCCACCAGGCTGCCATTGGCCTCTGTATCAGCAGATGACCTCAGTCACTGATCCACCCGCTGTCTGTCTGTCATCCACTGCTAAATATGGAGCATAACTGAAGCTGAGGGGGAGAGGTGAGGAGAAAAAGAAAGAGAAATGAGACTAGACAGAGACAAAAGGGTGAAAGTGGGAAAGCAAAAAGGGGGAGCAAGAAATTGGAAAAGAAATGGAGAGGGGGGGGGGGGGGGGTGCTGGCAGCCAGATGCATCAGGCTCTGTCAGATATACAGAGTCTGATTCCTGGCAGATCCAAGTTCACCTCAAACAGAATTAGGAGAACCACTGACTCACACCTGAAGAATGCTTTACTACTCGTGTGTGTGTATGAATGACTGAGCGAGAGAGGGAGCCAAACAGAGCAAAGAGAGACTGTGTGTCTGAAGGATGACAGAATGAACATGTTGGGATTTAGAATAATCCATATTTTAACATTGCTCATCCTAGAGAGAACCTATCCTCTGCCCCTGGTGCCTTGCTCCAGATCAGCTAAGGCTAGCTTCATCAGGGAATTCAGTGAGCCGGCTCCTGCATCTGCATTCATTCTGTTTCTCCCCTCTTTTATTCCAGTTTTTCCATTTCATTTGTCACTTGTTTGCATGGCGGACACTGATGTTTAGACGCCATTAAGTTGTCCCGCCAGTTGCCTTTCATAACAATGTGGTGTGCAGCAGCTGCCCTTAATCTGAACCGGTAACCCAAAGGGGCCATCATTGTTTGGCTCATGTAACTGATCCTAAAGTTAGATGTTTACGTCTGTGTGTGTGGTCATGTGTTGGGAGGTTGAATATAAAATGCTGCACCATCCCCATTCTATTTAAAATGACCATGACGTGCCACTTTCTGTAAATTTAAGCCTGTGTGTTTGTCAGTGTCCATACACTTCAGTGTGTCCATGTTCCTGTGTTCATTTTAATTAAATCCTTGAACAAGCTTTCTAGTGAACAGGTTCTAAACCTTGGCCAACAGCTGGACTTCATTTACACGGCTCTGTGTGTATGTATGCAAGTATTTCTAGCTGGTCCAGAGCCTCGTTATTACTTGAGGGAAAGAGTGGCCTTGTATGGGGAAGAAAAACAACCGTAAAGTGTGCAAGGTTTTGTCTGAGTGCACTTGTGAAAGTTTTTTTTAAAATATGATTAATTAAGAAATAAAATAGAAATGGAAGAAGAGAGAGAGATAGAGAAACAGTTTTCATTTATATCCCGAGACAGTGGTCATACTGTTGTCCCAAACGTTAAGGTAGGCTATTTACAGGCCGAGGTTCTGTCTTCTTAGTGTTTGTGTGGTCCTTACCTTCTCTGCAGGTCCATCTCCTCCGGTGTGGGGCCATTCTGAACCTGGGGGCCCTGTCTGGGCAATGTGGGGCCTGTAGAGGGCGACACACACAGACAGCTCCTGTTAGACATTCAGCTGACATCATCATTCTGACACACAACTCATCCATCCATCCATCGTCAACCGCTTATCCTGCGTACAGGGTTGTGGGGGGGCTGGAGCCAATCCCAGCTTACATTGGGCAAAAGTCCATCGCAGGGCCACACAGAGACAAACAACCACTCACACTCACATTCACACCTAAGGACAAAGGGCAGAGGAGTTATCCTTCACCATATTCTCGACAAGTGGGCATGTGCATGTGTGGATTACACCAAGAGAATGTTACAGGCCTCAATGCTGGACTCCTACACTGAGGGCAGTGTTTCCCCACATAGAGACTTTATGTGGGTGGGCCGCCCAGCTATATTTGGACACCCATTTTAGCACCAGTGCAGAAGTCATTCGGTACCTCGCTGGTTTTGATCGTTTCAATAGGCTACAACATTAACAAGCCTCGTCCACATGTGGAGTATTGGCTGCTGAAAACAAAATTGCGTGTGGAAAAATCCCAAAGACGAGTTCTGTCTCTTTCCTGCAGCTTTATAAAACATAGTGCTGATGGAGAAAGTCAGAAGAGCAGACACATACAGGGAGAGAGAGAAAGAAAGAGGTGGGGCAAGCTGGTTTGTTTGTAGTAAAAGACCAGAGGTGTGTGCGTGTGCGTGTGTGTGCGCGTGTGTGTGTGTGTGAGTGTGGAGAAACAAGAAAGGGAGCAGATTCAAGTAGTGAGTAAACACTAAAACAAGGTGGAGAATGAAGCAGTATTAAAATAGTGAAATTAAAAATAATCTAGGCCTACTAGAAATGAAACCCTGCTTGTCAACCATCTACATGACCATGACGTTACCCCGGGCCATATAATCATTTTGATGCCGATTCCCTCTGCATATACGACTGTCCGCTACACCGAAGGGTGAACTCCCTCCACCTCCCCAGCCTCATCCTACAGCAGCCTTTTGATTTATGTTAATGCAGAATGTTTCTCTCTCTGTGTTCATTCATATGTTGTGTATCCCAGACTCTGTTGGGGGACAGTCAGAATCTTGGTCAGATTTGTTTCTGAAGCAGCACAGGAGACACGCCCCCATTCTCAAGACGTGTATAATGTTGCAATAAATGGTAAAAACATGAGTGTCCGACTGAGCAGAATTAAAAGCACTGATTATACTCTTAGTCAATCAACATAAAGTTTATTCAGCAACTTATCTGATAATTGCTTATTGTAAAACTTCAATTGAATGTCCGGGCTATTATTTGCTTTAATCACTGAACTCACCCTGTCATTTGAGACCTTTACTACCTTTCCCACAAAGCTCTTGCTCGGCAAGGATGGGAAATAGGCTACTAACAAATTGTTTATTTAAACCAGTATGAATATTGCATGCATAAAAATGAGGCTGTTGAATAACATATCAATTAAGAATCATTCATTTGATCTAGCTCTGAGAGATAGCGCATCTAGGCCAACCGAGGGGGGGGGTGGGGGGGGGGGGGTGGGGGGTGGCGAGAGGGAGAGAGAGATCAATATAGCCTAACTTAGGAAGGATAACAGCAGCAAGTTATAGTACTTCTTTTTCAATTTGGATTCATTTTTATGAAAAACCGTTGTGATTCTTTTGACGGGTGGACCTTAAGGACTAAAAGAATATAAATAATGGAGGAATGGGAACAATTGTCTCCCTTGTCTTTCATGGTCTGAATGAATTATACTTTGGTGCTCATCATTTCTGTTAAATTAACTGAAAGATTAAATTGTGAACAATGTGTAGTGTGTCCATATTGACAAAAACATTTATATTTGTATGCACGCTCTTATAACTAGCTAAAGTGGGCAACCCGTTGGGCTTTAAAAGGTTTTATACATCCAATTAACTTCTGTAAAAAACAGACAGACAAGGTGTCTGATTGAGACCTGGGTTTATTTGTCAAATTTGTCTATTTTTGGTCTTTTATGATAGCAAAAATCTTTAGGTTTTGGACTCTTGGTCTGTCAAAACAAACAATTTCAGTGTTACCTTAGGCAACTTGTGGTGGGCATCTTTTACTTTTTTCTGACATTTTATGGACCAAACTATTACCAGATTGAGGAAATAATTGACAGATTTACTGACAATGAAAACAATTGTTGTTGCTGCACTAATGTTTTATAATTCATTTTATGAACCTCAATATCCAGAGTAGTGAATATCACTTCATCAATGAAAGTTGACCCGGTCCAAGAGAACGCTTTCTGTTCGTGCATCTATCCGGTTTTCTCACCAAGCGGGTGGAACATCCCACACCAGAGTTTGAGGAAAAGATAAATGCCGAAAAAGGTAAAATTTAAGTAGGTAAATGTCTTTTGTACGTAAAGCACAGTCCTAGCATAAACTGTGAAACACTGACTACACACACTGTACCCTCAGTGGCCTCTGGCATAAGAACAGGAGACATGCAGACATCACTGACTAATTTACACTTGCTAATGAGCTAACTTTTCTGTAAAACCTGAACAGCGCCATATGGACCCTCTCCCTCTGTGCCTGCGCACACACAGACACACACACACGCGCACACACACCCCCCCCAACCAGAGGCTTCTGAATCTGGATGGAGCTGAAAAGATTTTACTACAATTAGTATTCAGCCAGTGTTAACTGTCTGGAGAGACAGACAGAGATAAAACAGGGACAATCTGGGCTGTAGCCAGGCTAACGACTGCTTCTGAATACCAACGCACTAACACACATTGCCCCCATTTAGCACCGTCATTGGTATTGGCATTAGCTACTTTTCCACAAGAGAAATAAATAAGGTTTGCCATGTCTGAGTCAAAAGAATTAGAGCTCTTTTCGTTTTTTTCCGTGTGTTGTTGAACTTAAAACCTTTGGATCCTCAGTGGGAACATATTTCTGCCACCAGCAAAATATAAGACATGCAAGAACATGGCTTTTCTTGAATACACCTTATAAATGTGTGCTCCAAGGGGCAGGAAAACCAAACTCCTGGAAACACTGTGACTGATTGGTCAAAAATGCAAAAGAGCGCAAAGATGAACAAAAACTCATCTGCAATGGAAACTGAGACAAACAAACAACAAAGAAGTATTGTGTGGTCCGCTGGTGTGACCTTGGTTAATAATGTGTAAGTGCTGACCATGACAAGAGTTACTGGAAACCAGTTTACCGGCCACCGTTAGTGTGTAGTGTAGTGAAAATCCTATCTGATGAGTCAGCACTAGGCCCACAACCATCATTAATGGAACAGTGACCTTAGTGATATCAAGGCAATACATGCTTTTCTACTGATATTATATGACAATTTTAAATCATACATAGTTTATTCACTTGGTTTTGGGCCAAAATAACGGGGTGTTGTGGTGTAATGTGGACCACTGGCCAGGGGAAACCAGGAAGAGCAAAAAGACCAGCGTGACGTGCCGTTCTGTCTGTGACTCCAACATTTATGTAACCGTTTTTCACTCCTGAGCAGCAAACATGTCCAGCCCTGTGTGTGTCTGCTGACTGGAAACCATTCAGTAAAAGGGTGACTCACCTACACACTTAACAGGTGTCTGTCATGATGATGATAGAGATTTACACACATGGCAAAGCACAACTGACAACACGTCACATAACTCATAAAAAGATATTCTTTTAAATTCTCAAAATCTTCCATTGTTGCAAATTGCTGCACTGGTTCTGAATCTTAATCTCCCTTTATGATGCATTTCAAGTTTAATTAATATAAAAAGTGAGATATTTTAATAAAACCACTATTTAAGGTGTGAACACCAGACTGTCTATAAGCAGAGGCCTATAAGAGCTTAACTACCAGTGGACCTGATGTAAACCACTTCAAGTGATGAAGTGTCTCAGTTCTGAGCCTCCAACATAGTCCTACAAGAGACGGATTAGTATTTTATTTATTTTACCATTACTACTATTTAGTAACTATATTTATTTAACTACCATGTTTATGTGCCAATAAGTAACGTACATTATTCAGTACTGAGACAGCTGGTTGCTGTTTGGTGTCAGACCCATCACTGTGGCTGAATCGGATATCCAGTTTGTTTTATAGCAGGATGAAGAAATAATGGCACAGCTTCCTCCAATAATAATCAAAAAAATAATCCATGCTTATAGTTTCATAGTAAGGCGTGTAAATAAACAACTGAAATGGTAATTATCATTATATAGTCGTGATATTTGAAATGGTCTGCAAAATGTGCTTGTCAAAGACAAATTGTCAAGGGATAAACTTTTTTAGGAAAACATTTAAGACTACATTTCAGAAAGCAATAGCAACATTGATCCACCAAAGCATCTCCTCCAGCCACGGTGGTTTCTCACATGAAAGTTCAGACAGTTTCAGGTCCTCCAATCTGAGGATTTACACATTTTCTCTACTTCATATAGAGTTGGATTGCCATAACCTGCTAAACTTAATGAGATTCAATGAAGGATTTGGATTTGAAACTGTCGATCCTAATCTCATATCATTACAATTTGAATTAATTTGGTTTTAAAGACAGTCCCTAAGTGCTAAGTGTGAAGGGGACCTTTTGAGGGGCTGAAGTCCTTACTCCTGACATTTTACAGACTAATCAGTTAATAGGATAAAAGGAATTGAAGAATAATTTAATTATTACTAAATAGTCACCAATCAATGCCCTATTGATATCCTATAATTCATCATTCAGCAGCCACCCAGTAGATCAGATATGAGCAGCAATAAAGTGAAGGCTTATGGTTTGAAATATCACTCACACAGTTACATGGACAATAGGCTACTTTACATATGAGCCAGTCTTACCTCTGTTAGAGAACCGTGTGCATGGTTTACACAATGTCATGAAATAAACAGATAATGATGTACAGCACTGGCTACATCTCCAGGGAACACATAAAAACCATTTATACATCTAGCGCTCTGTCTGACATTATTATCCAAATCATCTCTTCTTATTACAGTCTTGATGGTTTCCTTGTATGGGCTGAAGTGAAA